TGTTTTACACTCACTAAAAAGAATCCTATCAATCTATAGGTATTTGAAGAACTTCTGTTTCCTTGTTGTCATGGTTAGCAGTCGATACAATTACTTAAGTCTAATATTAATTACTAACTTTTTATACAACTAATTATTAACTACTTTTCATCCTACTTTCGAATGCTAGTATGCTGCCGTCATCAGACTTCAGGAAATTCCTGAAAAGGACTTTTTTTATGGTAGTGACCAGAATTTGATCCTTGGTCTTCATGATAGAAGTCTGGAGTGTTCCTTATTACAACAGCATTTTCGCCGGCCGTAGATTAAACACCTCTGGTATCTGTTAAAAACTCCAGTAAATTAAAAGAAGAAAAGGATAAAAATAATGTACTGAATTTAAACTGAATATATTTTCAACGCATCTCAACTTTGGTAGCGCAGTGCTTTAATTTCCACTGATTTCTGCATAAACAGTTCTGATCATCGATGAGATAGAAGTATTAATTGGTTAAGATAAGTCTTCTTAATAAACTATTTATTTCGCATAATATGTTTCACACACACACACACATAAACATATATGCATATATTTACTATTAAACAGAATCTGATCTTTTATTATATATTTCTGTTGTTACTTTAAATGATATCCAGTGTGCATAGCAGTGGTCATCATGCGATAAAAACTAACTTTGATTTCAGTGAAGGCTAGTATTTAAATAAAAGAATATCATAGTAACTTAAATAATGTGTGTTTTTTTCACAGAAAAGTTTTCAATGTGAATAGAAAAACCTAATAGTTTGTTCACTAATCTAGACTTTGTTTAACTATTTCCTTTTTAAACTATGTTTTCCGACCAGTAATATGCTTAATATAAGGCTATATTTATACAATGTCAGTCAACAATCATATTTCAAATTCCCAAGAAAATATTTTGTCACAATTAAATCCTTTTAAGTTGAGGTCTCCTAAAATGAGGAATTAAGGTTATTGAAAAAATGAGATCTGTAACCAAAGCTATAGTTTAAATAACCCATTTCCTTCACTTTAAAGAGTACTTGAGAAATTGTCCTTAATTTATGCATATGCAAGCTTTTTTGTATTTTCATTAATTAAATCAAGCAAAGTCTAAATCAGAAACTGAAAAATTCATAAACCATTGAATAAACGCAAATAATACAGATGTAGTATGGGATTACATTTTAAATTCTTATGATGCTGAGGTCTGTAAATAAACGTTTTCGACTTATTATCTTAAAAACAACTAATCGCCAAATTTTAAGTATGATTTACCCTTTGATTAACAAACTATGCGTAATAAGCAAAAAAAAAAAAATTGTGAATGAAGCAACGTAACATTAAATACGATAAATAAATATTGTTAAAATCTTGATACGCATTTCTAACAAAAATGCATCAAATGTGAAAGCATATAAGTTTGTTATATGTATCTAATTAAACTACAAATAAGCCTATTCTATTTTTAAGTCTCCAACACTCCCACGAAAGATATCACTAGTGAACTACGTAGTGTAGTATATGTTTAAGTTATATAAACTAGGAGAGTCTATTTTTTGCTTAAGGGATGGTCAAGTGACGTTGGTGGTAGATGCACTCTGGGAGAATTGGTTAGTTGTCTTGGTCTTTTTTTTTCAGAGCTTCTTCAGAAAACAGTGCTGTTCAGCATACTGTGTACTAGACACCTGTATTAGTTTGTGTACAACAAAAGGTTGCAAGATTGCTTTCCATTATCTTAAACATTGTGTTCAGATTCGCTTTCTTCAACTCAGTCAGCTCAAAAACTAAGTTTCAATTTTTGTATATATTTTGTGTCAGATCTCCTGTTATTGCGCTTATTATTCATACTTAATGATATCACTTCACTTCAGAATACCACCGCTATGTACAGAAAGCTCACATCAACTATATATTTTCGTGACTCATGTGATAGAAAGTGCCTGATAGTCAGTAATTAAGAATAATATGTACACTATTTTACGAAAAACTAACAATCATATTTGTTGGCTTCGATAAACTACTAAGTGACTCCGTCTCCATTTGGTTATGTAACTGAAGTGCAGCCGCTAGCCCAGAACCAAATATCATATGACAAACTTTGCTAAGTCTTCCTTACATACAGCTACGCCTTGAGTATGGGTTCGTCAACTGTTAAAAATACTTATGATGTTAAATTAAATCTAAATGAAATGAAATTAAACTAGTAAAATATACTAAGCAAAACTTTAAAATGATATTCTGAGTTAGATAGGAATAATCGTATATTTTATAAAGATCTATATTGTAAAATTTTAAAACTAAAGTAAGTATATAATTCACATGATAGATTAAGATAAAGATTAAACAAAGTTTTCATGCTGGTTTAACCATGAGGCAAGTTTCTTAGCTAAGGTAAATGTAAACTATTCTAACACTGAATATGAACTGGAACAAATTTAATCTTTCAATCAGAATCAAACAGAAATTGTTAAGTATTAAACAGCAAGCAGTTGCCAACCTCTTTATTTTTTTCATTTCTCTTTGAACGTCATTATAGTAGTATCTGGCGCCAGTTACCAGACAAGTCTACTTTGCGAATACCAAACTTTCTGCTAATCGAACTCCGCCCTAGTGGCGCCATAAGTCAAGACTAGGAAGAAGAAGTAATACCAGGAACGAGGCAGACATGCCGGCGGCAACTGAGTTTTAAAGGTAACTCACGGGTGTGTAGTAAACGAAACGTAAATTTTTTGTAATGTTTTTATTATAATTTCGGGCTAGTTGTAGGGATAATGATATGTCAAATATTTAAATATATTATTCAAACTTAATAAATGATATGTATTTTCTTAAAACCTATTGATTATTCAAATTTCTTTTGCTCATAAATAAGAGTTAAAAATGTTTCCCTAGGAAAACATGAAAAAGGTTTCTCTAACAACTATGGTTAGTAATAATTAGGTATACAATCATAATAATTAATAGTATATAAATATCTCCAACTAATCCCTATTTAACCTAAATTCTCGCAAGGAACAAGTAGCTTAAAAATTATTTTTTAGCCTCCCAGCTGACTAGAGTAATCATATGTTGACCACAACTATATTTTGGGAGTTGACCACCATTTAACATTGAGTGATCAGTTTATCAATTGACTTTACCTACTTTTTAAAAAGTAATCAGAGGTACCTGAACTAGTGGCAATATTTCAGTGGTTTTGTAAATTTTCAACATATGGTACAAGTTTAATGAGAAGAAGATAACATTTTGGGGAACTTCAGTGAACAGAAGTTGACCTGTTGATGTGTAGTAAGAGGCTTTCTTATTGCTAGGATTGAACCACAGCCCAACTCATTTACACTGTTCACTAGGCTAACATTATGTAGATTGAGATTTTAAGTGTGAAATATAGTAATTTGATACTAAGAAGTTGTCATTTATCATATAAAATCGTTATCATATTTAGTGCTTTAACTGTTTTTCTGTTTCGGATTTCATATAGTTTGAATTTCTGTTCATCTGGAATCTTGTGTACATACAAGATGTGAGAGCACTGTCCTCTTCTATAAGTGTTTGTTTTTAAAAAACTTGCTGAAATTATAAACACGAATCTGAACATTGGTTTAGTTACTATAGTATCTCAGAATGCTCTCTTTACGGAGCAAGCGTACATGATTGTGTTAAGGATGAATTTCGGTAATTAGGTTCTATATTATAACTTATTATTGATATCAAACCTTAAATCTACAACGAATTTTTTACTTAGAAATATTAGCCCCTCTCCCCAAAAACAAAAAATAATTAAACACAAACATATTCATATCTCGGAAATCAAACGCGGTTACGATCAAGCTTATGACAATATATTAGTCTTTTAAACAAATTTATTTTAAACCTTTAGTTTGCACCTGTAAAACTGTCTTATTGTTCGTACCCTGGAGAATTGCAAACAAAACCGATGTACATAACAACTTTATATTTTTCGACAATGTTTGGATGTTTTTGATTCTAATAGTTATATCTCGAATTTTAACATTAATATTTTCTTGCTGGTATTATTTTCTCTGTTTGGAATGACTTTAAACAATAACAGGTTTATTGTGATTACGTATTCACATCACGGTTTATCAGCTTATGAAGTTTCTTCACACCCGAAAAGATAAAGGGTTGTGTTTTAAACCAAACAGCATTTTTGAAAGCACGAGTTTTATCAGTTGGCTTACATCTTTTCAAAACATTTTTTAAATAGCCATTAAAACCTGTAAGCTATATTAGTTTGAATGTATTTGATGGGGATTATTTGAATATTGTTCACTATAATTTCTTTAATTGTTAGGTTAGTTTAAGAGTTTCGAAAAAATATCTAAAAAATTGAAAGCATATTTAAATAACTTGAAAATTATACAAAAAACAATAACAATAACCGCAAGGAAGGAAGTGGTGTGGCAATAGGATATTTTGGTGTATTGCTACCTTTATAATGTATCTCCCTATAATGCTTACTATGTATGTCCTTCAAAATCAGTATCGTACTTCTTCGTCGCAATGTTGCACAAACACATGTGTGGGCGGTTGTCATGGTGATAGGATTACGCAGTTCTTTCAACGCATGCGTTTTGCGTTAGTTACTTTGTGCAAGACCCTCTGGCTTTGGGCTTGTCTATGTAGAAGAAAAGAGTTGTCGAGACAAAGATAGTGATTGAAAATTTCTGTCGAAGAGAGTAATGAGCTAAATTTATTGTTCTGTTTTAAATTTTCTATTTGTAGTCAGCGGCTAGTAACATGCCTCCCCAAGCTGCAGGAATAAATTCCATGTCTGAAGATGGCCCAGAAATTAAAGCCATTAAAGAAGGTAAGCAATGGTTCAAACAAGTCAAATAGTTACAATAACAAGTTCAGTTTTCTTTAATCCTGCTTTACATGCTTTAAATGTTACCGTGATCTGTGTCTAATATATCAAGTAATAAAATGCTGTATTTATTACATATGTTAAACATCACTAGATTTAAGTAATTAGTTTCGTGGAATTAACAAAAGATCTAAGATTTCTCTAATTTACATTTACTTTTTGAAATTGTAGTCCATGAGCTCTATTTAAGGTATTTTTGACACCGGAGTACTTAGACTTTCTAATAATATTAAAAATGATACAGCTTGAAATTATATGATATGTTATTCTCAACGTTTAAGGACGCCTTTTGTTATATTATAATTTGAAATTTATTTTTTAGTACCTAGTGGGTATTTCTCAATCATATTCCTGAAAATATCCTTTTTATAGCAATGACGAGTCTTAAATGTTTTATTAAAATGATTTTAACGATCAACTTTACAGTTCTGGTTTACTTCTTGAATATGTTCGTCTTAAGCTTTGTGGTCTATCATGTGATCACAGTAGATGCTAATGAGAAATAATTATTATTTGTTTTTTCGTTACTATAAATCGAACACTGATTGATACTCCCAGTAGAAGAAGAAAGGACCACCTTTCGAAAGCGCTCGGGTTATAGGGTTTTTATAGTTTTATAATCATTTTATGACTGTAGTATTCGCCCACGGAGTTTAATTCACCTTGCAACTTCTCATAAAAAGGCAGAAATACGAGCATAATATAAAATTAGTTTTCTATTTGGAATTTTGTAAATGTAATATAACTAGTATTTTTATAACTAATATCCATCCAATAAAGAAATATATCATGTGAAAAACTCCCTTATATTATCGCGTTTCTTTTGAAATAATTACAAAAACGAAGAATGATTGATTTCTAAAAAGTACCAGATTCCTGTTAACGGGTATTGAGGGGTGGAATTTTGACTTTCGGAAGATAACAGTTTAAGTGTTAATTGGATGGGACTAGAGGGGACAAATATCAATTCGTTGTGCAATCGAGACAGTCTTAAAATTATAGTAATTTCACCTTTAATAAACAAAAACACAATAGGCTCTGGATCTTTTGGTCCGGATAGATCTAGTGGAAATTAATAATTGAAAACTAACATGTCGATGCTAGTTTTATCGACAATATAATGTACAAACATATGTCAACCATTTAGGTAGGTTTTTCGTTATATGAAATTTGAATATCAAAGGATTATTGAGGAGAGCATTGCAAGTAGAGCGAAGATATGAATATAACAAAAATAAATATTTCAAGTTAAGTGTTTATGTTTTATGTAAATCACACTGTGACGAGAATCCACAATGTACTAACGTGTTCCAATAAAACGTTTAGGCACATACAGTCGAATTAAAATTAGCAACTAACATCCTATTTAAATAGATTAAACGAGGTCAGAATCAATTTTTTTCTCACCAAGCTGTGAAAGTGGGAGAAAATGTTATAGCATATTAAGTTGAAATCACGAGCTCAAACAATGACTTGAAAGTAGGAAAAATATCTTCTTTTGTATAAATTATTTTCAGGATTTTTGGCTGAAGGTCATCTATCTTTATCGATTAGCGCTAGCTCTACCAAGATGCAACACTTCAATCACACATGCACGTTTATCGATCGGGTACTGAGCCCGTATGACTCCGACCATTACATGGAAAGGGAAGTAAGGAAGAAAATGTAAAGGGATGGAAATGCTTGTTAACATACTAGCACTGTTTAAAATATTTTGTCTTCAACCTAATTATATATCAAAGAACTGCATTGAAAGTTTGGTGTACTTTGATTTTATTTTCGAAATTAAACTACTGCTCTATATAGGTTTCTATTAAGAACATAATTAATAATTAATATTCTGTACAAGTTCTATGCCATGGAAATACATTAAGAATATTACTTCTCTGTTTGATAATATACTTACTGATCTAGCTTTATGGATTTTTGTAATCAAGGTTTTTAACAATAAAAATGCCAACATGAAATCGGACTTGCATGTTCATAAGCCTAACCCGTATATGTAAATGGAATAACAGGTTGTATAATGCATCCAAAGTTAACTACCAGGATATAACAGACAAAACACGCAGTTTCAGCCACTTGTGAAACCGAACAAAAATCTTCATGTCATTCTAAAGTGCTTACTTGTAGACAGAAGTTTTAATCTGATAGTTACAGAAAGATGCGTCACCAGCTTGGCACGACAAAGAATAAATAAATCAAACATCACAATAATTAATATTGGGGTATCACATCTATAAGACAATATCCAAACCCCGATGTCAATCTTTTCAGCCTTTATGGGGGAAAAAAATCAATCAAATAAGGGTAGAAACTGAGTGCTTATACCCACAACATCTCAGCTTCTACTGCCTTTCACTGTCTATAGCCAGTTGTGGGAAGGCAGTTACCTTTAAATTTTTTAAATGTTAAAGTAGAAATGAATTGAACTAAAGCCACCCTCATATTTCTACTAATTAAACTCCCAACCTCCACCCTTACACAAATATATTAAATAGAACTATACATCTTACCTTAAAAGTTCTTATATAGTTCTAACTTTAAACCTACTCCCTTTCTCCTGAAGATTTATTCAAGTTTAACACGGGAACGCCGAAACAAGCCTAACTACTTGAAGTTTTGTCTCTTCGTCCCCGTCCCGTTTATACTGAATACATTTTCTAGAGAAGTTATCAGCTACTTATAAGCTAAAGTAACTAACTCCTTCTATACTTTATTTATAAGATATTTTCCTTAATCGATAGTTTAGTTTCTTAAATATTTTTATAAATATTAAAAAATAAAGTAATGTATTTCCTTAATTGCCTGTCTTTATTTTTTAATAAAACATTATCCAAAAAAATTATAGTTATTACGTACTATTAAAAACCGTTTTAGTTGAGATATAATAACACCTCTTAACATGATACACGGAATAACACTATTAGGTGTGGGTAGATCAAGAATGGGAAAATTAAATTATCTTCTTTTATCAAAAATAGTCAACTGCACTGGACCTTCTATAAAGTAATATCCAAATCTAAATAATTATCATGGACCTCATTATTATTATTACTTCTTTTTATTGTAAGTTCTGTTGGATATATTAGGTTTGGTGTAAAATTTATATTATTTATAGATATTAAATCATCTACGTAAGGGAAAGTGTAAAAGTATAAGTTAGGATTTAAACTCTGCTTCATAAATGAGTTTTTATAAAAGAACAGATACAGGTTGGTCATATTTGAAGAGATGTTCCTATTGGAATACTCACCGTTTGCTTATATACTTGTTCGTTAAAAAACAATATATCTGTAATAAATACAGAAATGGAGTACATTTTACATTGAATTATAGTAAATTTAAATTTGGTACAGTTATTTCATTATTTATAAAGTTATCAAACAAATCATTGAAAACCCTGATTAAATCTTCTAGGTCTATTTTAGTATACAATGTAGTAAAGTCATATGTAAAAATAGAACTGGCAGTTTTGAATCATTTAAGTTATTTAAACATTCCAAAACTGGAATGTTATTTTTAATAATTCAAAAATAATTATTCTGGCTATTTGAAGACTGCATTTTTATTCTTTGAAACAAGACATCTAGAATATTGTTAAGTACTATGGAAACAGATTTAATGATTGTATTAAAAGAATTAGTAATAAATCTGAACTTCACAGGATTTTTATGCAATTTTGGAATTGCATATAAAAATGGTAAATTTGTGCAAGAAAAGTTTGTATGGATATTCCATTTTTAATAGTATTCTTTAAATTAGTAATAACATTATTTTTCTTTAAAAGCACTTTAATAAAAGTACTTGAGGTATTAATTAAGTAAAATTTGTGCATATAAAAATCTAACATAATTTTGTGTTTAAAATTTATAAATTTGAAACTATCCATCAGCTTGTACAGAAGTGGGAGAAATATAGATATTGGGAAATCTCAAAAAGTCAATATACATATAGTGAAGGTATTATTTACAAATTAATAATTATTTTAAGTTGTGACGTAGAATCAACACCTAATAATGGAACTGCTAATATGCGAAGTGCACTTTAAGAACTGAAAATAGTTTGGAGAATATTAATTACTTAGTTCTAAGCTTGCTGTAATGTATAAGGAACAGTTTATCAATTCCTTAATGATAATATATTATACTTATGCATATATATAGGATTACATCGTACGCTTACTTACAGTAAACTAATTAGGGTCTATTTTTTATGGATTGTCTTAGGATATACTCATACACAAGTTAATAACTCTTTAATGAATTAAATGTGGTGTTCATATTGCTGTACTCGTGAATCTATGTTGCTAGCACTTCCCGCTTGCCAAATAATTAACTTTAACATACGTAAAACATTAGATTTAAGAGTTATATTTAAATTGCATATTTGAATAAGCTACAGAAGTACCTTAATTTATGAGTTTTCTGGCGCTAACGCCCCTTGTTAAAAAGAGGATACAAGATACTTAAATCGACAGACAGCTGAAAAGACTAACAACACTCAGCGGAAAAACATCCTAAATCAGAGCAATACTAAACTTTCAAATAGAATTCCTCTTATTATTACCTATTAGTTTAAACTCAGAAACGTTTCACAAATTCTGGAAAAACATATTCATCTCCTACAGCTCAACGATCGCCTTAAACAAATATTTCCTGAAGTTCCCGTTGTCTCCTTCCGAAAAAGCAGAACTCTAAAAGATATCCTTGTTCACACAAAAGTGAATTACATCCTACCCAAAAAGGTCGTCGTCCATGTAATATAACCTGCAAATTCATAAAAACCACTGACTCAATCAAAGAAACTTCAAATATCAAAAGAAATCACTTGTGAAACAAAAAACACCATTTACCTAATACATTGTAAAAAAATGGAATTACCAATACGTAGGACATAAACAAAAACTTAAAGTTTCAACACCCACAAATTTTCTATTAACGCAGAAAAAGATATCCCTCTTGCTCGGCACTTTAACCAACCCAGTCATTCCATCAACGATGTTACTCTCCTCTGCATTGAAACAGACTTTAAAACTAAAGCTGAGAAAGAGATAAAAAAAACTGACTGGATTGCTAATCTAAACACTGTTCAACCTTTCGGAATTAATCTAAATCGTGGAATCCGTGATCTCCGTTCATTGGTTTCATCTCTGTCAGAAAAATATTTTTTTTTATTCTTTGCTTATTCTTTTCGTGTAATGTGAACGCTGAGTTTCCTAAAAAGCTTACTAATTATTTGAGATAATTTTTCATACCTGTTTTTTTTTAGAAATTGATTAGCATAACATATCTTTTTCCATCAATCTCCAGGTGTCACCTATAGTTTACTTAAACACTTAAGTATAGTTTTAAATATACATATATTTAACCATATCTAAAGTACAATATCCCTAACACCTTTTCATATACACTCTCGCTATCGACTACATTGTACCGGAAATGAGATGCTTACAACAGTACATAGAGAAATAGACTAAATATTTTCTGGAAAACCGGATGACTTTCGTGACGTAACTAAACTCCCTTTATATATATATATATATATATATATATATATAT